CCCCCCCTCCATAATTCAGCCTCTGAAGCTACAGACAGTCAGACCTGTCCCAGACATTCCTCATGCAGGTGGAGCCACGCCCGCCTTTACTGGAGCCCCTTTGGGGGTTTTAGAAACACTTCATCTACCTCTAACCCACAAATTCTTCAATCTGGTCGTCACTTACCAACAACGACTGCTTCCTGGTCCATGACAAGAAACTAATTGAGAAACAGCTCCTCCCTGACTCACAGTAAAGAAAGGCCATCGTTGTTTTTAACCGCAGACTAACAGACACTAATGTTAGGAAGCTAAATGTTTTTCCAACCAATCACATCCTCATTGTGCAATAAAAATGTTATCATCAAGTAATTTGGACCTTCAACAACTTTTAAAAGGTCTGATTTTAAAGATTTTAAATTCAAAGATTAACCCACTTTCCTAATAAGAAAAACTAGCTAAGCATGAGGGGGTCTAGTTATTAAGCTTTAGGCCCTTCGGCCATCGTTTCTGGAAAATAAAACCCACCCAAACCTGAACAATCCCGATTCAACACATTTGGAAGGCCACTCTTTTCCAAATTCCTGATAAAATAATAAATTAAAGTGAGAGTGAGCTGCACCTGCAGGAAACTCAACTCAAACGCATCTTAAGGAATGAATAACCGATCCTAACCATTTTGAGAGCTGCTACTGGCTGCCTTTGGGGAGGTGGGGGGGGAATTAAAAGGAGCACAAAGGACACTCACAACCAGAACTCAGATAATCTTAGCAGAACAATCTAGTTAAACATCCAAAAACACCACATTGTCTTTATTCCATCAGAGCGACGAACGGGAACAACCAGGAGAAGGTGACATTTGTTCTTTAACCCAACAAAGGGGCCTTCTCTACAGGGGGGGGGGGGGGGTAAGTCTATATCCCGGCCTTTCTCAGGTTACCCGTCCTGCTGCCACACAGAGGCCTGTGTCTCACACACAGGGGAGCAGAGCCCACAGCGGAAAGGTAAAAACACACCTCAGACGTTAAAGGCCGGTGAGGCTTTTGGCAGAGGAACTGCATTCGGGAACGCCGTTTCCTGTCGGTTTCAGGGTGCAGTGGAGCTCAGAAAAGCTCTCGAAACGCG